TATTGTTTGATGAAACAAGATCAATGATATGTCTAAGCCAACCAACAAACAAATATTTGAAATACCAAGTGTTTCAAAATTATATCAGAAATTAGTGGATGCAGTGATATAGCAACCCGGTATAAATCGCCATACTGTTATTTTCTAGCCAGGTGATCTGATATATTTTCCTAGAGGTACTGTACACCAAGCGATCGCATGGAAAGGCGACAGTCACTCTACTCATATTACCCTCAGCACATATCAACAGCAGTAAGTATTCTCGAYTCTTTATCTCACTGCAATTAAAAAATTTAATGAGTTTCGAAAAACACTACTTAGAATTCATTCAACTCAAAAAGAAGCGAAGAATGTGATGGTAAATCATGTCGCCAAAACTCTAGCTTTTCATTTCACCAAGATTATTTCTTTTCAGAAGAAGAGTTGGAACCAGACCAAATATTTCCGTTCCTACTAAATTATCTTCGTTGAATCACAYCTTCATTTCTTCTAATTTAAAAGACCGTTTACACTTGCGATTTYTGCAGCGCGATAATCGCCACTTTGCTATCACGCAAATGAAGAAATCGTACGTGTAAACAATTCTGCGATTGTTGCGGCGATGGAAAATCGCCGCGAAGTTGCAGCCAATTTTCAAGCATGTTTGAAACAGAGGCGATGGTCGCGAGATGATCGCCGCGAGAATCGCTCTTCAAAAATCGCAAATGAAAACGGGCCTTAACAAGTGATCAAGAAAGGGTATAGCAACGTTGATTCGATAATGCGTTTTACCATAACTTGTAGAATTCTCACGCGCTGATTGGTCGAGAGCCGTTGTCGATCGTAGGACGGGAGAGCCTACGTAGCACTCAGTTGATGTAATATATTCATAAAGATATRATACAAAACACATAATACAATAGAACAATGGAATACAATACATTTTATGAATACATTACATCAAATACGTGCTACGTAGGTCTCCCCATCGTAGGACAGTAGTATAGTGTGCACCAAATTAACCTTAGAGGAGGAGAGGAGGGGGAGAACCATATCGAGGAGAAAGGCCGCAGGTGCGTTCTGTGGGACTGTGGGCATTATGGGACTGTGGGTATAGTGGGTATATAGTGGGTATATAGTGGGGCATAGTGGGACTGTTGGAGTCACGTGAAGATATAAAAAGCAACTCTCGGGAGATGTACATCTATCACTACGATGGATTTTTCCGCATTTGAGACTTTGGAGAGTTTTGAACAGTTTATTTTCAACAATGAAAATTCAAGTGAATTGGTTCCTGCTGCCGTCGATCGTTTGATGGAATTGACATTAACACCAGAGGTGAGCTTGACATTTTTTTTATCCAACAAAATTATGATAGTCATCTGATCTATTAGATTTATTATTCCAGGTTGATTCGGAGACACCGGACGAAAAGGATAAAGCGCTTCGAGAATTGGTTGATTCCTGCTTGGAACAAGATACAAATTTTGAAGATGTTTTAAAGTTTGTTGATCAAGGCGATGAATTACTAGAAATGGGTACTTCGGAAGAAAGCCAATTGACAACAAAAAACAAAAACAAAACAAAAAGGGATCAACAATGCGGTATAAGATGCCGAGAATGTGCATTACGCTGATACAAACAAGGCAGTTTCAGAAAGAGATCAACAATCACCTACTCAAGATGGAAGAGGTAAAAAGCGCGCATTGGAAAAGGAGAAAGAAAATGTTCCTCCAAGAAAGAAATTCCGTTGCTCTACCTGCGATAAGGATCACACGATCGGACAACTTAAGGCGCCATGAGAAAAGTCACCAGGCAGTGGAAAACAAGTTTGAATGTTTATATTGCGAAAAGAAATTTAATTCAAAGTTTAATAAARCCAGGCATGAGCGAGAAGTCCACGATAGGGATCTCAAATGTGATAAATGTGGAATGGCGTTTGATGATAAACGTGCTTTCAACAAGCATGTTCAGACTATACACAAGAAGAGAAAGCTTCAGGAAAGTAATTTAGGTAAGTGCTCAATATAATATTATTTTTAATCAAGCTACAAGTGCTTGAGCAGTAAAAACGATCGATTCACACTCCGATGCTTTATATTTTTTCGTAGATCAAGCGACTAAGAAAACAACCCCTAAAAGACAGAAAAATCTTCCTTCAAGAGCTCCTTTTCCTGTTTATGAAGATCCTCGTAATATCGAARCTCTTCCAGTAGAAACTCGAGGTGATTCTGAAGTCTACCGCCAGAACTGGAACCATATCCGGACTCGATTCAGTCGCAGAAATCGTCTTKCCGATTCCTATAACTTTCGCCTCTACTCTCTTCTTCCTGATGAGCTCTTACACCACTTAGATGATATTTTTAACGACCAGAATTCAGTCTTCAAAATCAATGTTGCCTTTGGATTCATTTTAAGAAACAACGAAACCAACGAATTTCAGTACTACTACACTTCAAGAAACAACCATCAAGTGTTTGATCAACCCTTTATTATTGCCACAAGAGCCGATTTGGAAAACGTACGTRAGGCTTTAAAGAATCTTGATGTTTTCAGCTGGGCCCAACAGCTTCGACCCAACTCCAAGTGGATTGTGGATCTGATCACTAACATGACTTTCTTTGTCACCAAACTTCGAGGGCATCCCATTGGAAGAGGTCGATTATTACCCCACTWCATTGTAGAAAACCGAGGAATCGTTCCTTTAGAGAGTAGCGGGCAATCAGGGAAACASTATGATGATAATTTGTGCTTCTTCCGAGCATTGGCACTCCTTCGTGGATTTCAYACCAAGAATTTGGAAATAGARACCAAGAAATGTTTTCAAAGGTAAAGATTTTTTTCAAATGATTTGTTTGTTGTTATGGCACATTTGGGTTACTTTAATTTATTTCAATAACTTTCATTCAATAATTATCTTTTTGTTTTCTTATGTAGATTTTGTCCTGATCAGTCATGCAATGAATTTGAAGGCGTCACGCTGGATGAACTGCCGCAGCTGGAACTTATTTGAAGTCAATATTTTCGTTTATTCCTTGGAACCTTTGGAAAATGGCAAGACAGTTGCCCATCCTGTCCATCGCTCCTGTGAGAAATATGACACCAACCTCTACCTCAACTTATRCAAGAACCATTTCTCCTTCATCAAAAGTATGCCCAAGTATTCCAAATCGTTTGCTTGTTCTCGCTGCGGGAAGCTCTGGAAGCATGTTGGTATGTTGCACAGACATGAGCGAACCTGCGAAGCGAAGTTAGATACAAGTTT